AGCTACCATAAGATCTTGCATATACTTCCCTGTGCTATACAGTATAATCTTGTTTATCTATTCTACAATTTTGAAATCCCAGTCTATCTCTTCCCACCCCCACCCTTGAATGGGTATTCTTATATCAAACTGAAATATTTTTCTTCCTTAAAATGCCCACTCTCTGCAGCTATACAGCATAAATATAATCCCCTTCAGTAAGATGTAAATTCCAATAGCTAAAGCCAATCAGGGCTCCCCTAAATTCTGTAGGTATTATTCTTTTTATGAAAATAAATCATGCGCTCCCTGGAGGTGGCACCATCGGTTCACTCTGCCTCTTGTGCCCCCAGGAATCTCCTGTCGTGGAGCTGAACGTTGGGGGTGAGTTCTATACCACTACCTTGGCCACCTTGAGAAAATTACCAGGCTCGAAGCTGGCAGAGATGTTCTCCAGCTCAGCCAAGGCGTGCACGGATGCAGAGGGACGCTTCTTCGTCGATCGCTGCGGCACCTATTTCGGACCCATCCTAGAATACCTGCGCAGTGGGCAGCCGCCCACGCAGCACATCCCCGAGGTGTACCGTGAGGCTCAGTACTACGAAATCAAGCCTTTGATCAAACTCCTGGAGGACATGCCACAGATCTTTGGTGAGCAGGTGGCTCGGAAGCAGTTCTTGCTCCGGGTGCCAGGCTACAGCGAGAACCTGGAGCTCATGGTGCGCCTGGCGCGTGCGGAGGCCTTGGCTGCGCGCTACTCCGAAGTGCTGGTGTGCGTCGTGCGCAACGAAAAGGATGATGCGAACAGCGCAGACACCCTGCGCCTCCTGGAGGCGAACAAGAGGTCGGTGGTCAAGTTTGGGCCTTGGAAGGCATCCCCGACCATTGATGATCTACTGGACTGCGTCAAGATGGACATTCAGGCCCAAGGGTACCAAGTACACTGTTCACCCAACAGTACACTGCCGGCTAAGGTCTCCGATTACTTCCATACATTCTGCTTCAGCTGGTGGTGATCCTTGGGGACGGAGGTTGTTATGGGCTCCAGTTGCCTTCGAAAGCCATCATCCTTTAATTTCACAAACATCAAAAACTTCCAATGTGGTCTACTTGAGTCTTGCTTCCAAATATTTAATTCCCTCTTGAGGATTTTCCATTCTTTGCAAGTGACTCCACTGTACTTGCCTAGTGAGGTGAAGCTGCTCCCTCTTTAAAGCTGTCCGTACCTCTCAGACCTTTCCCTTGAAGTCCAGTAGCAAGGCGGAGATGAACTGGAATGATTTAACAATGCTTTGGCTGGAGATGCGGGATGACAACAGGAAAATAATATGATGCCATGAGTCTAGACAGTCAGATCTAAAAATGTAACCTATCCAGCCTCAGCTTGTGATCCAATCTTCCAGCCCTGGTGTGTGCCTTCATGAGGAAGATGCCAAGTTAGCAGCGGTAGTATATGCCACTCAGATCTTTCCCAGATGCTGTGTTGGCAGCTAGAGCCTTACAGCTATCCTCTTATCTAGAGCAGTAGTTCTCAGAGTGTGGTCCCTAGACCAGCAGCATCAGCAACACCTGGGAACTGTTAGAAATACAAATTCTCTAGGCCCCCTACCTCAGGCTTACTGAAACAGAAACTCTGGGAGTTAGCCCAGTGGTCTGCTTTAACAAGCCTTCCAAGTAATTCTGAGGCATTCTTAATTTTGAGGCCTGCTCAAGAAAAGAATTGCCATCTTGCTTGTGTAGAGGTACAGCAGATGGATCCCTTACCTCAGGGAGGAACCAACTCTGGTGCAGTTTCTGTTCTAGAGCTCCTCAGGAGATCAGGCTGAAGTCAGTCTTCATCGGCCACCACATTCTGGCTTAGCAGTCTTCCTCTGTTCTATCCTGCTTCCCTCACTCCCCTCCACCTGAGAGCACATCCTCAATAAACCACTTGCACAAGAGACTCTCAGGTTCTGCTTCTCAACCAGAGACATTAAGTAACTCTAAACAGGACACATGTAGCCACTCATCCTTCTCCAAGTCCAGGTCAGGGATAGATGGCCACCTTCCCCACCTAGTAGGATGACCAGCTATTCTGGTTCCCTAGGAATGAAGGTCAAGTTTAACTATCAAGCTTTTAGAAGTTAATACTGAATCAGGGAATTTCAAATTCAAACATAAAATTGCTCAGAACATAGTCATTTTCAGTGAGCGTTTTAATTCAGTAACTGCATCTGCTTGTATATTTTTTCTTATTTTCAAACGTGTTCTCTTTTCCTTTTTTGGTATTTAACATGGCTGATGATTTAAAGTGGAAAAATCCTGAATGTCTGTTTGAACTTTATATCATGAAACAATTCAACATTACTCATCAAGAGCCTGGAAAAAAAGTTCATACCTTTTGATCAGTAGTTAATACTTCTGAGATTAGATTCCAAGGAGATAACTTGCTCCATAAGATCTAAATAGGGTTGCTTAAAAATCTCAATTTCATGAATTATGGAAAGATCAATATCCTCCCCAATATTTCTGTACATTTCCAGAGGGCTTGTCTTCTTATGGTCAGCTCTGGTTCTCCACGCCTTCTGGATTCATTTAGCACAGGGATCATCTAGATTCTTAAGCCTGTTGTTGCTGTTCTACACAATGCTTACCCAGGTTTAAAACTCAGATCTTTTAAAAAAATTTTTTACAAATGCTACTCCCATCAGCTGTTTGTGCACATAGCTGACTGTGGCAAATACAGGCAAATAAAGGGGAGGGAGTTTACAACACAGAAATGCAAACAACTTCAAATTGAATTTTGGATGTATCTATTATTAAAAGTGTGTTAGTCAAGTCACCCCCATCACTGGGGGCTTTTCACTAGTAGATTGTATTTATTTCCTGTTCTTTCTTCCCTCCCTATTCCTTCTATACTTCTCTGTTGGTGGGAGTAATCTTGCCCACCCCACTGACTTCGTGCTTGGCCTCTTGACTTAATCTGGCCAATGGAATATGTGTGGAAGTAACAGTGTTGCCAGTTCCAAACTGAGGCTTTAGAGGCATGCCAAGTTTCCACTAGCCACCTTGTATTCTTGTCATTTGCAGAAGACCATGTTCCAGTTTAGCTACTACCTCAATGAGCTCTGGCTCTGCATCCCTTAGGGTCTGACTCTCTGCCTCAGCAATTTACCGAACTATTTTATTAAGCAAAGGCAATTTCAATAACCCCCAACTCCCAATCCATAACATAATTAAGATGACATACTATTTTTATTGCACTTAACTTAAATAGCAAAACAATTGGAAATAAGCCAACTTACATTTATATAATGCAACATTATTTAGCAATTAAAATTACATTTATACTTAAAAAACTGAAAATAGAGTTGCCACATGATCCAGCAATCTCACTCTTGGGCATATACCCAAAAAAGATGAAAACTAATTCAGAAAGACACATGCACCCCAATCAATGTTCATAGCAGCACTATTTACAATAGCCAAGACATGGAAGCAACCTAAATTTCCATTGACAGATGAATGGATAAACAAGATGTGGTGTGTGTGTGTGTGTGTGTGTGTGTGTGTGTGTGTATACACACACACACATATATAATAATAGACTAGTACTCAGCCATAAAAAGGAGTGAAATATTGCCATCTGCAGCAGCATGGATGGATTATCATACTAAGTGAAGTAAGTCAGAGAAAGACAAATATTATCCATCACATATAGTGCAATCTAAAAAAAGAATACAAATGAACTTATTTAAAAAACAGAAGCAGAAGACAAACTAATGGTCACCAAAGGGGAATGGGTAGGGGAAGGATAAATTAGGAGTATGGGATTAACAAATACACACTACTATATCTAAAATAGATAATAAGGACTTACTGTATAGCACAGGGGACTATGTTCAATATCTTATAATAACCTATAATGGAAAATAATATATATATATACGAATCACTTTGCTGTATACCTAAAAGTAACAGCATTATAAATGAGCTCTACTTCAGTAAAAAAAAAATTACATTATTGGGAAGGAGATTAATTTAATTTAATTCAGTACAACCTAATTAAATCTTTGCTCTAAGAAGGATTTAAGCTGGTGGGGCTTAAAGGCTATGAAAAAAAATACACAAAAATAAATAAATTAGAGGGGGGAAGTTATAGCTCAGTAGTAGAGTGCATGCCTAGCATGCACGAGGTTCTGGGTTCAATCCCCAGTACCTCCACTAAAAAAAAAATAAGTAAATAAATAAATAAACCTAATTACCTCTCCCCTTCGAAAATAAATAAAAATAAAAAATAAATAAATTATAAATATATAAATTAAGTGGACACTCTTGGTTGCCTACCCAATAGTACTGTCTCCTCCCTTCTTCTGAAAAAGCAAAGTGAATAAGGCACATTAATAATGTTCAAAATACCATTTCTGAACAACTCCATTAAAAAATGGGCAGAAGACCTGAACAGACATTTTCTCAAATAAGATAAATAGATGGCCAACAGGCACATGAAAAGATGCTCAACATTGCTAATTATTAGAGAAATGCAAATCAAAACCACAATGAGATATCACCTCACACATATCAGAATGGCTGTCATCAAAAAGACCACAAATAACAAATGTTGGCAAGGATGTAGCAAAAAGAGACCCCTAGAACCCTACTAGTGAGAATGTAAATTGGTGCAGCCACTATGGAAAACAGTACCGAAGTTCCTTGAAAAAATGAAAATAGAACTAGCATATGACCCAGCAATTCCACTCCTAGGTATACATCTGAAGAAAACAAAAAGATATATGCACCCCAATATTCATAGCAGCAAAATCTACAACAGCCAAGACATGGAAGCAATCTAAGTGTCCATCAACAGATAATAGATACAGGAGATATGTGTGTGTGTGTGTGTGTGTGTGTGTGTAGGTACCTATATACACACACACACACATACACACAAACAAACGTATATAATAAAACAAACAGACTTACAAATACAGAGAACAAGCTAGTGATTACCAGTGGGGAGGGGAAAGAGAGAAGTAAACAGGGGTATGAGATTAAGAGATACAAATTATTATATATAAAATAAATAATCAACACAGAGACATATAGCCATTGTTTTGTGATAACTTTAAATGGAGTTTAATCTATAAAGGTATTGTATCATTATGCTGTACACCTGAAACTAATGTAATATTGTAAATTGCCTATTCTTCAATTAAACAAATACCAACTCTGTTCACTTGTGGGCACATATGAGACTTTCCAGATCTGTTGGGATTAACTAAAGAAAATTATAGTCATAGGAGGAAAACTTAAAACTGAATTCTAAATATAACTGTTGTTATAATCCACAGGAAAAAATACAAAAAACAAGTAAAACCTTTGAGACTGCCATCATGGAGACACCCTAATTCACAGCACTGTGGCAGATTTTCAGATCTCACTATTAGAGTACCTCTTTATTTTTTTTTCCCTTCTACTTATTTTCCCTATCCTCCCTGCCCCACCCCCACCTCCCATCCATTTTTTCCCCCTTTTCTGCTGTGCTCAGTGTCCTGGAAGGCTGATCCCCAGATGCTGCATACCCAGGCCCCTTCCTGGTTGGCCAAAGACTTGGAAAGTACAAAAGTGGAAGATTGGGGACAAGAAAGCCTGTGAGTTAGTATGTGGATGAACGTCTTGGAATGGCGGAAATATCTGTGTTTCCTATGAATGCCCACCAGAGGGCACCCATTCTAGAAGAGGGTTTCAAAAAAAATAAATGGACATAATAATCCAACCTGTGGATGCCAGTCAGTTACTTTCCCCAGCTCCCTGGTATCCCAGTTCAACGGAGTCATGAGAAAGGTGGCCATGATGGCAGGGATGGAGTTGGTGCATGAGCTCTACGATACAGACTTTTGCTCATCAAAGCTAATCTGGTCAGTGGTGGATGTCCAACAGCAGAGACCAACAGAGTCCCTGATATGCTATTATTCCATAGGGAGGCTAGACACTTCTTGGTGATAGGTTGATTGTGCTGCAAATCAGTTAGCTGTACTGCTCAGTAACAAACTGTTGGGAGAAATGCTGGCATTTCTCAGCAAATGGCATTGATAGCTTTGAGGACGTCTGCAAAGCTGCTTAGGGGTAGGGGGCAGATGTACTTCTTTACAAGGTAATAAACTTAGTATCACCCTCCAATCCTGGAGACATTTCAGTGTGATAAAGCATGTCTCCCCCTGGATTAGAAGGCAGATTGTTTCCTGACCAGTATAATAATGTGGGGGAAGGGGGCTGGAAGGGATAAATTGGGAACTTGAGATTTGCATACACTAATATATATATAAAATAGATAAACAACAAGATTATACTGTATAGCACAGGGAACAATATTCAATATCTTGTAACTTATGGTGAAAAAGAATATGAAAACAAATATATGTATGTTCATGTATGACTGAAGCATTATACTTTACACCAGAAATTGATACAACATTGTAAACTGACCGTACTTCAATAAAAAATATATATATATATACACAAAAAAAAGGTATTGTCTCTCTCCAGAGGGCAGGTTTTCTAGCATTCCTCTTCTAAGATTGAGGGTTTCCTAAGCTCAGCATTCTTCATCTGTTTCAGATCTATTGTGTATGGCATTCACCTGCATCACCCCCATGGTACTTAGGGTACAAGGAGAACGAATATAAACATCAAGTTCATGCTGCCTGCTATGCTGTGAATAATAAGCTGTCTAAATCCATTTGGGCTTGTTGTCTCCTTACCTGTTGTATCTATGGAAGTGCGGGGATGCTGTCTTATGGGTTTGTGGTGTATGCCTCATATCAACAGCTAAAATGTGTATTGTTTCTCCCACTGTTAGAGTACATGATTCTGGGAACTAAGATGTAGGAGTGGTTCTTGTCACTTTTACACATAACTCATTTCATATTCTTGGGTTCAGTGGGCTTGGAGTACTTGGTCCTCAAGGGAGGAGTAGTTCCCACTAAAGAACCCAGTCAATTTTCCATTACATTGGAACATGTTGTGAGACTGTCCCTGGTCATTTGGGGCTCTTCTACACTGAACCAACAGGCAGAGAAGGGGCTACCACACCAGTCTGAGTGGTTGACTCCAATTTCCAAGGGGGAAATTGGGTTAATGTTATACAAGAGGGACAAGGAAGACTTTATTTGCAACCCAAGGGATTCACTGGGGCACCTCATTGTACTCCCATGTACAATAATGAAGGTCAAAGAAAATGTCATCCCTTCAATAAAGATAGTTTTTCATTTCAAAATTAATGAATGTGGAATATTCTTGTTTCTATACCAGTCTGACCTCAACTTCTTAACTTTATTTCTTTCGTTCTTCTCTGTTCTGTGTATGCACTTTACCCTCAATAT